CGCAAAAATAAAGCCTTGTAAATATAAGAAAAATAAATGCAAGGAGCTATATGGCCACCTGGTTCGCCCCTCCGTCTAGGAATAGGATCTGGGTGGTCCTCGCCTTCACTGAATTCCCAGTTACCTCGGACAACGACCATGACATCATCGACTTGCTTGCTAGAGCTGGAAAGCATAGTCACCAATTGATGGTCGGTGTCCTTGGCCCTAAGAAAATAGCGCCCATGCTGGCCAGAAGACTTGGCCAAGGCATAACAATGCCGAATAGCAAGTATGCCGAGATTAATCCTAAGGTGACGATTTAACTCTATAATCCCCATTACGATTCGAAAAAAGTTTACATTAGGTTGGGAAAGGATTAGACCCCAATGGCGAAGGACAGCCCTAAGGAATGAGTGAAGGGGGAAACAGACTCCGCCCTCTGCAATTGATAAAAGGGGGAAGATGATTGTGCTTTCATAAGCCCTCTCCATATCAAGGGTGTTGTCTTTCACAAGTGAAAGACGAACATCATCAGGGATAGAAAAATGGCTTTGAAAGCCAGAGACTCGATCCATGGAGAGGAGGTCTTTCAAATGCTTTGCCATTTTTGTCAGCCTATAGGAGTACGCTAAACTAAAAACAAACCAGGAAAAGGGATTCAAAGCAGAGAGGAAGAGAACTTACAAGAGATGGAGAGGACAATGAGGCATAAGAGGAAGTTGCAGAGGTGAGTCGGAAGGCACTCCAAGAGCTTCAAGCGTCCAAAAATGTGTATGTATTTGAAAAGACGAAAAATTTTTAAATCACAATAAATGGAAGAAGCATACGAAGGGGCGGGAAGTTGTAGTGACGACCGAAAGGCGTGAGCTCTAACATTCGCGTTGGAATGAGTTTAACTGCCGAATTTCGGCTCTGACTTTTCGAGTTTGAAACCAAACACACCAGCTAACTGTTGTTAATGGAGTGTTTGGGGGGCAATTATGGGGGCCGAATATTGGAAGACGTAAAGAGGCTGAATAATTGGACCTGGAGAGTCAAAATATATACATCGCATTCGGCTCCGTCTTATACATACAAATCCAGAAGTATCCTATTCGGCCAAATAACCAGTTGAGTAAGGGGCCGAATGAAGAGCGGTTTGCAACGAAAGGAGCCGAGTAAATAGTTATCCGGCGAATTGAAGGTGGGCCCAGCCTTAAGCTCCAAGAAAGAAAAGATATAAATAGAAGAACATTAGCCAGAGAGAGGTATGTGAGAATTAGTATGTTTAACTTAAGATACAAGCAATCAAGAGAGTATATACTGACTTATCCGTCGGAGTGCTAATTCTGGCACCCCCGACTGGAGTGTTCATTCATTTTCAGGTTATTAACTGAGGATCTCGAGTGTCCCATTGGATCCAAAGAGTATTTCCAAACCACTTCCCCACATTACATAATTTTTTGTTAATGTTACGAAATTTTGGGAATTAGTTACGACATTTGTGATTTTCTATAATTTTAAACAATTTTGTTACGCCAATTAGTGATTGCGTTATGTATTTTGTATTTTATATTACAAAACTTTATGACTTGATTATGATATTTGTGGTTTCTAAAATTTTAAATATTTTTATTACGCCAATTAATGGTGTGATTATACATTTTGTAGTTGACGAGTAAAATAGTCTTTTTTATTAATTTTACTTAATAAAAATAGATGAAGGATTTATATTAAAACTAAATAATAAAAAATAAGTATAAATTGACAAAATTATAAATTAATAATTTATTTTATTATAAGACTATTAATAAATGTTTTAATTTTTTTTATAAGGATTATTACATAATTTTGGCCCCATTTTCTCCAAATATTTGGAACAAATATCTAAATTTTGTCAAAATCAAAATTCCCTCATTAATTGTTTTTGTTAAATCCCTAAACCCTTTCTTTAGCCCAAACAAGAGAGAGAGAGAGAGAGAGAGAGAGAGAGAGTAATTTTTGGACTTGGGGTGTGCCGCGAGCTCGTGGGCCAAATTTACACCCCTATATGTGAGTAATGGTTATGAAATATGTGATTAGTAGTTATAAAATATGTGATGTTGGTTATGAGGCAAATGATGTCGGTTATGAGATGTGGTTATGACATAAGTGGGTAAAGGTTATGAGATATATGATATGCGATTATTAGATATGTGATTTTGGTTATTAGTAGAGTGGTGTAGTTATAAGTCAAAGGGTGTTTGGTTGAGATATGTGATTAGTGATTATAAGATATGTAATGTTGGTTATGATCAAAGTGGTGTGGTTATGAGATATGTGATTAGTAGTTATGATATATGTAATGTTGGTTATGAGATATGTAGGTAATGGTTATAAGATATTTGATTAGTAATTATATAATATGTGATTTTGGTTATGAGCAAAGTGGTATCAAAGGGTGTTTAGTTATGCTATATGTGTTAGTGGTTATGAGATATGAGTTATTGGTTATGATCAAAGTAGTGTAGATATGAGCAAAAGTGTTCACTACAAGAATTAACACTTTTGGCAACAAAAAAATTAGTTGCTAAAAGTCAATTTTTGGTCGGCAAAAGTTATCCGCGACCAATTTTTTTGGTCGCTACTTTGGTCGCCAATTGAGGGTCGGCAAAAGTAATTCGCGACCAAAATTGGGTGTTTAGTTATGCTATATGTGTTAGTGGTTATGAGATATGAGTTATTGGTTATGATCAAAGTAGTGTAGGTATGAGCAAAAGTGTTGTTAGTTATGAGATATATGACTAGTGATTATGAAATATGTGATGTTGGTTATGACTTAAAGGGGTTTGTTATGAGATGTGGTTATGATTCATATGGGCAATAGTTATGAGATATGTGATCAATGGTTATGAGATATGTGATATTAGTTATGAACAAAGTGGTGTGGTTATGAGCAAAATGGTTTTAGTTATGAGATATGTGACTAGTGGTTATGAGACATGTGATGTTGGTTATGAAAAAAAAGGTGTTGATTATGAGATATGTGATTAGTGGTTATGAGATATGTGATGTTGGGACCCCTGGGCTTCTTTGATTTCCTTTGCCCTCTTTTTGATAACCGGTTACACTGGTTGCCAATTCAAAATTAAATTATTAAAATAATTTAATTATGTGGTAGTTATGAGATAATATGGTATGTATGGATAAGTAAGTTATGAGTTAATATAATAATGGTTACGATCTATATGATATTAGTTATAATATAAAATCATATATCCTTATAACTGATATATGTTACGTTCAAATGTACCATAGCATCACCCCAATCATATAAGTGCAAGGATTGCTTTTGCCACATAGCGAAAATATTCTGTGTAGTACTAAAAGATACAATGTCTTGCAATTTATGATGTTAGTTGCTTCATAAAAGTTAAAGGACAACAATACTAGTAACAAAATATTATTGTGACAACAATATATATGTTGCTTAACTGTCTGATTTCTTCTTCCTACAAGCTGACTCATAGGAGAGTTGGAAATGGAAAGATTGCAAGTCTGCTACACTTTTCAATAACTTACTGGAGACAAATGCCAGAAAGGAAGAACCAGTAATATATAATGTCATACCTAACTCAGAGGAGGCCATCCTTATGTAGAGGTCTTGCCCATTTTCAATGAAATCTTCTTTAATGCCTATCGGGTCACCAAACCAAAGCAAGAAGCCACTTCCTTCTTCACTACTTATATTCAATAATGCATATGCCATACAAGTGCAACTGTGCAAGCACGCGGAGTATCACAAGGGTAACAAAGTATCACAAGGGTAATCGAAGCTCTGCCAGAGAAAATTTTCTGGGTTGTGATCGTTTGGGTCTTGGATGATAAGGTTTCCCGAATCGGGAAGTCTTGCAACTGGGTTGCGTGTGGATCGAGAGGTGTTAGTGGACCATACGGTGTTGTTGGTGGAATTGAGAAGGACGAGGATTCCGGGTCAATGAGTTTCAAGACACCAGAGGAATTAGGAAGTGAGTTTTCTCTGTTGGCAACCCATACCACAGTTCTAGTGGAAATTTTCTTGTACCATATTCCCAAATAGCGATTGTTGGAATTGCCAGGGCTGAAAAACCCCGTTTCAAAGCTTTCACTATGTGAAACTATGGTGGTGTTACTATCAACTGTAATGAACTGAGTTTTAGTAATGGTGTCGAGAGCTTTGGAGGTTGTTAAGATATAAAATGAAGAGTGGAAGAAAAGAGGTATGGTATGAAATTCCATTGATGTATCTGGGTTTAGAAGTTAAAAAAAAAAAAAAAAACACTGACATTCCGCGACCAAAAAGTTTGGTCGTCAATTGTGACATTCCACGACCAAAAAAGGTTTTGGTCGCCATTTGTTACTTTTCGCGACCAAAATTTTTGGTCGGCAAAAGTGAGTTTCCACGACCAAGAGCTGTTTTGGTCGGCAATAGATGTATTTTTTGCGACCAAAACTCTTGGTCGGCAATTGTCATTTTTTACGAAAAAAAAATATTTATTTGTCGCGACTAATAAATTGGTCGCCAAAGCAGGAAAACAATACACCTGTAATTCCTAATAATTCATTCAATCCATAATAAACCTATAATTTTAAAGCATCATTCAAATTAACTGAATCATTAACATTCGACACAATACATAATTCATTAACATTCGACACAATAAAACTATTCTAAGTTTTTATTCACAAGTCACATCCATCTAGCATAACAAATTGAAACAATACATAATTCAGATTTACAGCAACAGGAAAATTGCTTAATCACTAAGTTGCCTTGATAGCCAATCAAAAAATCCTTGCGCCCTTCCGTGCCATGCTTCGCATCCATCAAAGCAGTAGTGATGTAAGGCACCTAATAAAGAAACAGAATTGGAAAAGTTATCAGAGAAGCATGATAGTGGCAGCAACATTGGATTGCAAACCCGTATCTTTGCAAAAATCAATTAAATCCTATAAACATGTACATCGTATTGAGACAACTAGCTGGCATAATAAAACTGTACCTGTTGCTGTACCTGCAAATTTCAATACACGATGATTAATAAGCTAACAGCCATAACAAATACAGGCATAGTTAACTATCAAAGCTCCATTGATTCAGTTCACTTTTATATATGATTTTTTAATAAAGTTGGCAAAGTTTGTTTTAACGAATAATACCACAGATTAATTAAAACACGAATGATTCTGATGTTCTTAGCTTTAGATTAAACTTTGGGTTGTAGATGAGTAACTTGAGCAGACATTCAATCAGCACTGATGATCAAGGCCCCTAATCTAAGTAATCACACACAAAAGATTAACGTGTACCAAAAAAAAATATAAATTTGCAGTTCACATAAATAAGGTGGCATCACATTTGTGCCTCCTTTCCGTTCTCTTTCCCAAGACATCAAGGGAAAGCATATTCATCCATTCTGCTACCCTACCTACCAGATATGATATGAATGAATACATCTGACGAGTTTTCCTTAAAAATAATAATAGAAAACAAAATTCCTTAACCATAATCAGGGAAAACTCCAAAAAAAAAATCACATTCATTTGTACAATGGTCGGAAGTCACTCACTTTCCTATAACAAATTAGAAACTAATGGCAAAAAAAAGATATATGGTAGCAGAAATCCTTCAATAGAGAACAAAAATTTCAAGAAACAAACAAACAAACAAGAAATGACCAAGCATCATATATAGATATCAAAGTAATGTATAACGCAAAATTCTTACAGAATATATGCTTTCTGTCAAAAAGTTTAAGAAACAAATAAATTCATTAATCTAATACTAATAAAATGCCATAGGAATTTTGAATTAAGCTCACAGTTTTCATTGTCTTGCCTTTTTCTTTTCAACAAAAAATGGAAACGAATAACAGGAATAGACAAATAGTCAAGGTAAAAAAGACCTTATAATTGACGATTTGGACCCATATCACTAATTATTTAGATATGGCTTTTCTATACCAAGAAGAATCCTTGAATTCAGCCAAACTGATTTATTAAAATGGTAACATCATAAATTATTAAACCTGGTTCAGTGTAACCAAGGCTTACCATAATTTATGGTAACATCATAAATTATTAAACCTAGGTTTACCATTGCCAACGCCAGTAGCATGCTTCCTTTCCTCGCCTGAACAACCTTACAAACATTGTACACGCTGCACAAACGCAAAACACCATATAAAGTAAAATCAAGCTGATGATCACCCAAAAGCAGTTAAGAAGTCATGAATGTGAGCTTTGGCATTAGCAAAAAAATGTCATAAAACTCAAGACCAAAATAATCCTGCTCATATGAAGCCTGTCATGTGTAATAGGATATGCTATTTAGAAAAGAAAAAATTAAAAAGAAAATATATATATATAGCGTGTAAGATATAATCTTTGATGTAATTATGTGCAACCAATTAGCTAAATATTTCAAGAACAGCTGAGTAATATGGACATGTATTCAGCCCACATCCAACAAACACAAGAAGAATAGCATCCTTGATGGTAATGACGCCAAGGATGCTACAATGTGATTATAATTCATACCAACAATTTCAAATCAGCAACTCAAACCCTATTCTACAACGTCAATCTATGACTTTGGGAATGTACAGCCCATTCACATGTAACATGGAACAGTACTCTACTAAAGACTACACGGTGGCATCAAGAAAGTCAAAAGTTTTTTTTTTTTTTTTCTCAGGGCATCAAAGTAAATCGCTACAGATACAAACAAATAAAGTAAGTAATTTTTTTGGCATTAAGAATATGAAGAACTACTCACTTGAATAAGCTCGTTGGTATAATAGCAAAAACTATTATTGCAAACAGCGTAACCTTGTTTGTTGGGATTTCTGCAGTCAAAAAATAGATGGATAAATGACAACATGAAAAAAATTAAATTAAATTAAAGCAACTCACGTTTCTATAAATATGCTATAAAAATGAAAACAAAGTAAACAACAAAAAAGTTCATTTAAAAAAGTTCCCAAGGCAATTAAAAAAATGCACTCAGACAAGAAAAATGAATAAGAATTATGAGTCACCATTCAAGGAGAGATTGAGACTAGAAAAATCTTTAAAACATAAAAAGCAATGGATTACGACATAGATATCAAGACAAATTAGGTAATTAATATTTTTTTTCCTTCCTCGGGGACGATAGCCTCACCAGTAGCTTCCAAACAAAATGAACACAGAAGATACTTGGTCCAACCCTTTCTCTTAACAATAGTAGTCAAACTAAAAACCGAAGTTCTGCCAAGAAGTAAAACAATGGCACCTCAAGGAATGTATGTAATACAGACGACACAAATTTCAGAATCCATCCTAGGCTCCTAGCCGGCTGAGAATGTATGCAGAAGGTTTATAAATCCTAAATTCAACAAAGAGCACCACCATGTCAGCCAATCTAAGACTCGTTACTTCAACAAAGTAGAAGTTGTCAGATCATATGATCTTTTCTCATTTTGCAAAGAATTTGCTAATAGCTTCCACAGGAACGCATAACCATACAAGTTACGAAAACATAACACTCATATACAAGTTCAAAAACACTGTCGCTTTATAACATTTTTAGTATGTTTCAGAAGCAAGAAGCAAGTAGGACAGACCAGTATTACCAGAAAATGTTAATACCCCATACATTTTGGAACACACATTCCGAAACATGGTACCACTTTCATTCCAAATAAGTAAATTAATCGATCCAAAAATATTTTCCTAGTTATTTCCTTGAGCAAAATGAAATCAAATACGGTGAAAGAAAATCTAGAGAGGGGAGTTTTGGAAAGACAAAATGCAAGAGGCCATAATGCTCCTAGCTAGAAGCTTGTTTTTACATGATTAGTTTGCAAAATAATATAATATGTTCCATTAGATATCCACTTGTTAACAAAAAATTACTCCCATGTCTGTAAGTGCCTCAACAAATTTTAATATTGTGATTTAGAGGAGGAGCCTATCTTTAACGTATCACATTTTAGAGCATGTAACAAACTATGTCCCGGTTTCTGTTTCTTGTCCAGGAATGATTCACATTCCAAGTAACTTTGGGACAAATCATATTTTAAGAGTAGAGTACACACATACAAAGTCAAAGATGATACTTCCTTCTATATAATGCCCACCTAAAAATATATCACACAGAACTGCTAAGGTAAATTTTAGTTGGCTAGGTAAGAGCAATAAACACAGGATCAACAACATAGGCACAAAAGAATTTGCTACAAGTTATTTGTGTCATACAAATCTCTTTCTACATATACATAGGTCATACCATTTATCAACGGAACCCAGCTCAGAAATGGCAGAGACTTTCCAAAAGGTTGAGCCCACCAATCAGCACCTGAAAAAGAATGGAATAATATTATTACAGTATAATACCGCCTAAAAATTATAATAAAAAAAATCAATGAATATGAGTTGCCAGCAGGTTGCCAGAGCTCGCCAGAAGGTTGCCGCCAGATAACCAGTGATAGCCACGATGGCCGGTGGTGAGGTGGTGGGGTAGTGAGGAGAGTGAACACTTTAAAGACAAGTGACTTTTTTTCATTTCCAAAAATTTTGGAATCAATTCCATTGTTTTTAAAAACAAAATCAATATACCAAACAAGTTTCTTTTTCCAATTTCCAAAAAAATGAAAACATTACCATACGAGGCCTTAGGATTTATTAATTGGTTAACATATCAATATCTATAATGAATGCCTGAAGTATGTAAAAGGGCCTTAAATATGGTAAAGGGCCATACCAACTATAGCGGTAAAGAAATGGCACAAATATATCAGCATCAGACCCTCCGTAGGCCCATTGATAACGGGCATAATAAGGGTATTGGTGAAATAACTACACAATGAAAGAGATATTGATAAAGTTGCTAACCAAACTCCAAATTATTAGTATAATCCGAAAAACCAATGGCAAAACAGAAATATAACTTCACATTGAAACATGTAGAGATTATGATTTAAATAAATTAATAAATCTTATAAAAATAAACTGCATCAAAAGCATCAGTGCCACAAAGCAATTTTTTAACCACTAAATATTAAAACATTTTAAATGGCTCCCATTCAAGGAATTCAAATCTAAATGTTGTGCCAAATCAAGTATAGCCCCTTCATGGCCTTAATCATGTTGCAAACAGTTTGTCATATATAGAAAGATCACAAAAACATTTTCATTCTATTGGTTTTTCCAATGTAGCTGAGCAAATGAGGTTTAAAAGCAACATATATCTAACTAATTCTAGAATAGAATTGTATATGCAAATCAAGCAGCCATAGTACAGGTAAAATGTGAAAGCATATATATATACACGTTTATCTACACACATAGGCAAAGAGTTGTCTAATCATATCAAATTTAAAATTTTCAAATCTATTTAGAAATTAGAATCTGAAATAGCGCGAAGCAGGTCAGGGCTAATAAAATAGATGAAGAAGAGCAGGGCCCGATTGGCATTTAGCAGAACTTCTAAATATTCCCATAGTCCGTGAAAATGGAATGATAGATGAAACAAGACCCTTATTTCCCACATCTTCTTTTGATAAGTGAGACACCAGAAACAGAAACCATACAAGTTTAATGCTGCTCACGACCGTAAAATAAGTAGTTACCAAGTCTGCTAAGCATCACTGGTTTTGAAAAGTACGAGTGGAACGCCAACTCTTGTGAAATGTGTATACATGCACATTGCAGCAGAGTTTGTTTATGTACTTTCAGCAGCAATCATAGCTGATGGTTCTTTAAAATAAAAATTACTAAGAATGTAACTGAATCATGAAATTGGTCTAAGAAGATCATCAATACCTGTATTAATAACAAAACTTATATTCTTTATTAAAAAAAAATCGATATGGTATATAATGTTAGAATTTTTTTATAAAATAGTAGTTTCAGTATATACACATAGGAAACATAATTAAAACTCAACTAACAAATCGATAAGGTCTCACTTTGAAGCTAAGTTCTATGCATTTATCCTAAATTTTGTAGCTTTCTCAGTATTTTATAGGCACATACGACCATTACCATCAAAACAAAAGCTCAAAAATCACTCAGTAAAGTATTTATGCAAAGAGGAAAACATTATGGCCAATCATGACAATATTCAATTGTAAGATGTCAAGTGGACTCATTTTGACATTATAAAATAGTACAATATTTATCTATTTACTATTTTATAATGGATAAATAATGGATACGAGGACTCTGGAGGTACTACTAATTGAGTTGAGGAATCAAAGTATATCAATTGCTTTCTAGGTTGTATTGCGATGCGTTTTTAATTATTTAACATTTTTATAATAATTACAGTAGCACTCTTCATGTTCCAGCCTCACCTACGTACATATATACATATATATACAGAAGCAAACTTCAAATAATACAATTCCAACTCCTAAAGCAATTAAGCTTGGCAATCAAAAACAAAAACTCCTATGGCATTTAAATAAGTATGTAGGCTTGTGTTGCAATTGAAATCATCGGCAATAAATTCTCATTAATTGAAAATCAAATCTGTTGATTCGGCATAAATCCGAACAAATAATACACATATGAACGCCTTTTTTTCGCATATTTATCCTACAAGAAACTGCAAATCTATAAATCTATGCTATATACAAATGAAGAGTTGTACCAGTAGATGAAGAGGAGTAGCATTGAAATGTAGCTCTGCGGCGGCAGCCGAAAAGTAGGGTCGGTAAAGCGGCGGTGCGTGGACATCCGGAAGATGAGAGGGAGAGCTCTCACCAGCAGTAATGGGAGATGAGTCGCACCAAGACGGAGAGGGAGAGCTGCGGTAATAACAGGGTAGAGTCGCACGAAGCTGGAGATTGAGGGAGAGACGGAGAGAGCGAGAGAGGGAGAGAGAAGAGATGAGGATGGTTACCTGGACGCCGGAGGGAGCTCCACCCACGCAGGTGTTGTCATCTGTGGCGCCACTACGAGAAAGAGAATGACTGAGGAGAGAACTAGGGTTGGGGCAAGTGAGAATGAAATTAGGGCCAATTTTTTTTTTGTTTGAACGATGCTCCCTATTTATTCAGAATAAGGATGTGAGAATATTAGGTATGAAAATAAAATTTTAAAAATTTATAGGTGTGATTAAAAAAAAAATTATAATAAAAAAATTATTTATTATTAATTGAAAAGTAATATAAAAAATAAATATTATTATACCCAATTAAATTAGGTGTGATTAAAATATTAATTTGATTTTTTCCTTCACACTTTTATTAAAAGTGTCATGTATATTAAAAGTAATATACAAAACGACATCGTTTTACAATCGACGACTAAATTTTTTTGTCACAAAAAAATTTCAAATCCCGCCTCCACTTTTCAAATTTCCCTCCCAAACTTTTGGTGACCAAAAGACTAGATTAGTCGCAGAAAAGGTACCTTCACCGACAAACTTTTTTAGTCGCCAAATATCAATCAACGGCGACTAAAATATTAGTCGCTAAAAGTACTAATTTGGCGACTAATTTTTTTTGGTTGCCAAAATGTAACCTTCCGCGACTAAATTTGTAGTTGGTCGCTAAAAGCATACAAATTTCTGCGACTAACTCATTTTTGGTCGCCAAAATGTGACCTTCTGCGACCAACTCATATTTGGTCGCCAAAAATATTGATCATTCGCGACTAATTAATATTTGGTCGCCAAATATCATTTTTTTGCGACCAAAATTTTTTTGGTCGGCAAAAGTGGTCGGCAAATGTGTAAATTCTTGTAGTGGTTGTTAGTTATGAGATATATGACTAGTGATTATGAAATATGTGATGTTGGTTATGACTCAAAGGGGTTTGTTATGAGATGTGGTTATGATTCATATGGGCAATAGTTATGAGATATGTGATCAATGGTTATGAGATATGTGATATTAGTTATGAACAAAGTGGTGTGGTTATAAGCAAAATGGTTTTAGTTATGAGATATGTGACTAGTGGTTATGAGATATGTGATGTTGGTTATGAAAAAAAAGGTGTTGATTATGAGATATGTGATTAGTGGTTATGAGATATGTGATGTTGGGACCCCTGGGCTTCTTTGATTTCCTTTGCCCTCTTTTTGATAACCGGTTACACTGGTTGCCAATTCAAAATTAAATTATTAAAATAATTTAATTATGTGGTAGTTATGAGATAATATGGTATGTATGGATAAGTAAGTTATGAGTTAATATAATAATGGTTACGATCTATATGATATTAGTTATAATATAAAATCATATATCCTTATAACTGATATATGTTACGTTCAAATGTACCATAGCATCACCCCAATCATATAAGTGCAAGGATTGCTTTTGCCACATAGCGAAAATATTCTGTGTAGTACTAAAAGATACAATGTCTTGCAATTTATGATGTTAGTTGCTTCATAAAAGTTAAAGGACAACAATACTAGTAACAAAATATTATTGTGACAACAATATATATGTTGCTTAACTGTCTGATTTCTTCTTCCTACAAGCTGACTCATAGGAGAGTTGGAAATGGAAAGATTGCAAGTCTGCTACACTTTTCAATAACTTACTGGAGACAAATGCCAGAAAGGAAGAACCAGTAATATATAATGTCATACCTAACTCAGAGGAGGCCATCCTTATGTAGAGGTCTTGCCCATTTTCAATGAAATCTTCTTTAATGCCTATCGGGTCACCAAACCAAAGCAAGAAGCCACTTCCTTCTTCACTACTTATATTCAATAATGCATATGCCATACAAGTGCAACTGTGCAAGCACGCGGAGTATCACAAGGGTAACAAAGTATCACAAGGGTAATCGAAGCTCTGCCAGAGAAAATTTTCTGGGTTGTGATCGTTTGGGTCTTGGATGATAAGGTTTCCCGAATCGGGAAGTCTTGCAACTGGGTTGCGTGTGGATCGAGAGGTGTTAGTGGACCATACGGTGTTGTTGGTGGAATTGAGAAGGACGAGGATTCCGGGTCAATGAGTTTCAAGACACCAGAGGAATTAGGAAGTGAGTTTTCTCTGTTGGCAACCCATACCACAGTTCTAGTGGAAATTTTCTTGTACCATATTCCCAAATAGCGATTGTTGGAATTGCCAGGGCTCACGCTCGAGCGTCGCTTCAACCGCTCGAGCGCGCACAGACCAATAAAGCAGTCCGCTCGAGCGTCAACTTCTCCGCTCGAGCGGAGATTCACAACTCCCAGAATCTCAGGCCGTCTGCAAAATTTCTGAGAACCCCAAAAGTCCGCTCGAGCGTCAAATCCTCCGCTCGAGCGGAGGGAAAAATTCTGGGTCGTCACACCTTTCTTAGTCTGTTGTTCCTTTATTTATACTTCTTTCTTGGGCCTCATGGCCAGTCCCACTTGTCACTCATTTCTTTTTTACTCATCTCTTTTTTACTCGGCTCCATAGCTCAGTATCTATTCGGCCTATCTATTATATTCGGCATCCTTATCGTGCAGGGTAGAGCCGTGTAAAGTCTGTCTTCTAGAGTACGCTTCTGATTATTCCAAATATCCGACTCCCACAATTATATATTAAGTGATTAAAAAAACATAAATAATATCAAAATTTATAATTAATCTAAGACATTATCACGTGATATCAGAACTAACCAAAAAATTTTCCAACCTTAGACCCTGAACTTTTTCTTTTATTTAAACCTAGGTCTATCCTAAATTGAGTCCGGTCCAATTTAGAGTCAACCTTAACACAAACTAAAATTTACTGGGAAAATTGCACTTGTAAGTTTTTATTAAAAAAAATTATAAATTAGTGTCAAATTTTATCAAATTTATAAATATTTAATGTAAAAATTACTGATTTGCATTTTTTTTTTAAAATTTATTAGCACGGATTGAAAGTGTGAAACTCCGGTCATTACAACATTCGGGTTATGTTTAGTTTTGTTTTATAAATTTTTTTAAAAATCATTTTATTAAAATATTAAAAATTAATTTAGTAAAAAAAAATTTAAAATATATTTATTATTTTTATATATTTTATTTTTTAGGAGGGTTGAAGTAATTTTTAAAATTTAAAAAATATCTTTATAATTTGTCAAATTAATTTATATTTTTTAAAAAAATTATCAAAATAATTGTGAAAAAATTCAAATCAAATCAAACCAAAATCTTGAGATTTAGATTTATGGAGAGGCTTTTCTCCAATCCATTGGACTAGAGCGTACTGTTGAGTTCGTAGGTCTTATTACGAGTCCTGTTTTAATAATTCAAAATATTCAATATGTATAACTCGTCGAGTACTTCATGCTTGTAAAAAATCATGTTGATCGGATATCGGGTTCCGTTTCGATCAAAGGGCCACTGATATCCGATCAATATGATTTTTTATAGGTATGAAGCATTCGACGAGTTTTACATATTGAATGATTGAATTATCAAAATAGAATTTGTGGTGGATTCCACAAACCCAACAATATGCTCCTGTAAGCCTCTGTCTAGATTTATTATGAAACCACACTCCACCAAGTGGCGTTCCATTTGTTTTGACCTTTTTTCTAAGAAAAATATTTTATAGTAATTTTTTTTATATGTACTTGCAATCTTACAATTAATATGTTAAGTCATTTCTAATCTTTCATTAAATATTTTATTAAATTTAAATTTAATGAAAATTAGTTAAAACGGCACTTCAACTGTTTCATTAAATCGATATTAAATGAAAAGAGAGTTAAATTTTTCATTAAATTAAGGGAGTTTTTGTAGATGGTCATGGGCCTGGACGTCCTCTCGAACAATCGGATTTGTAACAAAATTTGATAAAAAAAATTAAATTTACCGTTGAAATGCATTATATCATATCAAACTTTTCAACAAATTTTTATTCAAATTTGATAAAAAAAATTCATGAAGGATTGGAGATGCATTTAGTGATTTGTATTAATTGTAGTGGTAGAGGTGGTGGCACTGTTACACTCTGTTTGGATTGTGAGGTGAGGTGAGAAAAGAAAATAAATGATTATGGTTTATTACCATTTGTTTGGATGAATAAAAGAGAAGAAAATATTTCTCACCTATCTTGTTTAGATAGAGTAATAAGAGAAAATAGAGTAATAGATAGAGTTATAAGAGAAAAGAAATGAAAGTGTTTGATTTCATTTTACCAAAATAATCATCTCTATTGATAAGCTATGTTTTTTCACAAGGATAATTTTAGTATTTTAGAAAACTTTCATTAAACTCAATTCTTTTCTCACCAAATCTCACCACTTTTGGTGAGAAACTTAAATATAAGTTTGTGAGAATCCTTTGTTCACTATCTCCCATTATTTCTCACCTACTTAGTTATCCAAACAAGTGAAGGGACTTTCTATTCTCACAATTTATTGTCTTTTCTTATCAAATCCTTCCATCCAAACAAAGTGTTTATAATGCTGGTGGGGTAGTGGAGATGATGGTGGTATTGATAAGATTTTAGGCCTTTTTTTTTTTTTTTACTTTTTGAAAATAGGAAATATTTTTCATTCAATTTTTTATTTTCATCATTCCAAACAATAAAAATGTAATTAATTGAACATTTAATTTATCTCCCATTATTTCTCATCTACTTAGTTATCCAAACAAGTGAAGGGATTTTCTATTCTCACAATTTATTGTCTTTTCTTATCAAATCCTTCCATCCAAACAAAGTGTTAATAATGCTGGTGGGGTAGTGGAGATGATGGTGGTATTGATAAGATTTTAGGCCTTTTTTTTTTTTTTTACTTTTTGAAAATAGGAAATATTTTTCATTCAATTTTTTATTTTCATCATTCCAAACAATAAAAATGTAATTAATTGAACATTTAATTTCATTTTTTTGAGAAAATAACAAATTTTTAATTATTTTTTAAATTCTCCAAAAATGGTTATCACGAAAAAAAAAGTGTGTATCAATCTTCACGTCATTTTCATTTTCATTTATGAAAAAAATGGAAAAATCAAAGAAAGTTTTCAATAGACGAGATACCCCATGTCTAAGGTAATGAAAAATTGATGCTTTGTAAGATATAAGGTAAATTATCAAAAGGTTTTAATAGT